GGCAATGAATGTACAAATGCATTTTACACAATTGATGTATGTATGGATTGTGATAAGAGTTGTATGAGCCCCTAATAAAATGATTTTTAAAAAACTGACAATGGGAATGGCTGAGATTTGTCTTCTAGAAAACCCTACCTGTTTCATCACTATGACGGGAGATGGAGCAGATGCTCTGGGGCAGTGTCTAAAAATCGACCTAAAGTGGAACATAGTCCATGCATTATCTACAGTCCTCTCCATCAGGCGTCATTGTTCTCACTGTACAGTTCGGGAGCTGGATCTCAGAGAGGTTCAGTAATTACTGGTGGTTCTTGTTGTTGTTGTTAGCTGTCAATGAGTTGCCCTGGACCCATGGCCACCCATATGTTACAGAACTGAACTGCTCATAGGGTTTTCTTGGCTGGAATCTTCATGGAAGCTATTTTCCAGGCTTTTCTTCTGCACAGTCTCTGGATGGGTTAGAACAACCAACCTTTGGCTTAATAGTCAATTACAAATTATGCGAGCCACTCAAGCTACAGGAAGGGAGGAGCAGAATTACTCTATACAAACGCTTCCATTACTAGCAATACTAGGCACTCCATAAAAATAAATGTCAAGGAAGGAGTGTGTGACCATTGAGCGCATCCCCGGAGAGCATTTGTGACTGGTTCCATGGTAAGGTATGTACTCAGGAAGCCCACTGTAGTATTTCTCTGGAAAAATTACCAGAACAATTTTGATATCAACACATCCACTTAAAGGGACCAAAAGCTGAGTGTCTGACAGATCTTGATCTCAACCCATATTTAGATGAGTCTAAAAGGAAGATTTGCTCTTGACACCAAGATTAATGAGTCCCTGAATACATGTGGCTTTCAAGAAGTTGACAAATGATTCCTTACTTGAGAGGTTAAAATTGAATTTTAAAAAATCTAATCTCCCCACAAATCATGGAACGGAGCAGTATATAAAAAGCACTGGTCTATTTTGTTGTTTTAATTGTTGTCTCCCCATCGAAGGGACAGCTATGTCCCATGTCTTCCCTGGCCTCCATGTCTCTACTAATCATTTTATTCAACTATCAAGTAGTCAAACAGCTAAACTACTTATCCTTTGAGTCTGAATACTCCTATTACCATGTGTGATTACAGACTCACTAGGGGCAACAAGCAGTGCTGGTGTTGCAAAAGTTAAGCATTCACTTGCTAATCAGAAGGTTGGCAGTTCAAACCCACTTAGTAACTCTGCAGGAAAAAGACCTGTTGATCTGCTCCCATAAAGTCTGCAATCAAGAAACCCCTATGGGGCTGTTCAACTCTGCCACCTCAGGTTCCCATGCGAAGGAACCCACCCCCTGGCACTCAACAACAAGAAGCAGCAGCCAGCAGATAGAAACAAACTGGATGCAAATAAGGGACCAATTCTGCCACGGCTGGTTGTTGTGGTTATCAGCGTTGGCCCCTATTTCATGGCATCACCATTGAAATGATACTGAGATGGGTGTACAGCATGATGAGCATAATAAAATCACCCAGTTGCATAGGTCAAACCTGTTGAGTTGGCACACGGTTTCTTCTATACAGTTTTTGCCGCACACACAGACACACAAGCTATTGAGTCACCTACCAAACTCGTGGGTGGGACTCAGGATAGGCTTGCAATAGGCAATGTCCAACTTGGCCCCTGGGATTCCCTCCTTCCTGGTGTCAACAGTTTGGTGTCATTTTCGGCCCTTTATGACTGGCGTCTAACCAGTAGAAACTGGCTTCATGGACAGCATGGAAGGGATGTCACTTCTCTGACAGATGCTTATACTTCTGTTGTCCTAACAGCCTCTCCCGTGTGCTGGCTTTAAGGAAGCAAGCTGCCATGTTAGAGGAGCTCACATGGCAAAGGACTGAGGGTGGATCTGGCCAACAGCCAGCAAGGATCTGAGGGTGTCAGCTGACCATCCCTTAAGGCAGTGGTTCTCAACCTTCCACATGCTGCGCCCCTTTCATACAGCTCCCCATGTGGTGGTGACCCCCCAACTATAACATTATTTTCGTTGCTACTTCATCACTGTCAGTTTGCTACCGTTATGAATCGGGTGACCCCTGTGAAAGGGTCATTTGACCCCCAAAGGGGTTGCAACCCACAGGTTGAGAACTGCTGCCTTAAGGAACTGAATCCAGCCAACAAGCATGTAAGTTTACATGGATGCGGCTCCTTTCCCAATCAACCCTTTAGACAAGACCTTGGTCCTAGCCAACACTTGGAATGCAGCCTCATGAGAGATGCTGGAGCGGAGGACCCTACTAAGCGGTACCTGGATTCCTATTCGACAGAAACTGAGATAATGTGTGTTGTTTTGAGCTGAAAAATGCTGGGTGGTAACCACCACAAAGCTCAAACAGGAACCAAGAGAAGGCAAAGCACAGCTTAAGTCGTGATTTAAGAATAACTTTCTATCCTTAAAGACAGAAAATAAGGAGCCCTAGTGGCATAGTAGGTTTCATTTTGGGCTGCTAACTGCACGGTCACCAGTTTGAAACCACCAGCTGCTCTGCAGTAGAAAGATAAGGCTTTCTACTCCCTTAAAATTTTACAATCTCAGAAGATCATAGTGGCAGATAGACTCTGTCTTATAGGGTTGCTATGAGTCAGAATCTACTCCATGATGGCGAGTTTGGTACTTTTTTGAGTTTTGAAACAGAAAAAAGATTGGGAGCTACATCAGACTGGAGAGTGGTAGATAAGGAAGCGATACCCTGCACTCAACAACAAGCAACCAGCAGATAGACAGACTCTGCTAGATGGACATTGGGCCTCCACTCAAGTACTCCTCAGTGCAAGAACACTGGCATTCCGTGATGCTCACCTTCCCGACATGATCACTGAAGACAAATGTGTGCAAAAGCAAATGTGCTTAAGAAAGCTGATAGTGTCCCACTATCAAAAGATATAGCATCTGGGGTCTTAAAGGGTTGCAGGTAAACAAGCAGCCATGTAGCTCAGAAGCATCAAAGCCCACATGGAAGAAGTACACCAGTCTGTGCGACCATGAGGTGTAGAAGGGACCAGGTATCAGACATCAAAGAACAAAAAATCATATCAGTGGGTGCCCACCTTCCTGATATAATCACTGAAGACAAACGTGTGCATAAGCAAATGTGGCAAAGAAAGCTGATGGTGCCCAGCTA